CTTCTAATATACTAAACATAAACTATGAATAAACAATGAAAACATCAAAAAATATCCATTCACAAACTAATTTGTACAAACAATATACCAAACATAAACAAAGATGTTCAATAACTGTACATATTCCTAAGATGTACATATACTGCATATATACTGCGTATACACGCTACATATACCGAAAACGTACAACGAACAATTTGTTAGGGTTTTATATGATATCTAAGTTCCAACAGAAAATGTAAACGTAACAGCCCCTAAATCTTCCCGTCGGCGAACCTCTTCCTCTTCACCTTCCCGAGCTCCACTCCCAAATCTGACGTGATTTTCTAAATAAAAAATTCATAAACAAATAATTAAATCTTAGATTTTAAGGATTAACAATAGGAAGAAAGAAAAAAGAAAAAAAAAAGAAGCACAAACAATAAACAACACTGACTTGCAGATCATATAAATCGAACAACAAACCACCAAGATTTAATTCAAAGTTCATTGAAACATTCAATTTTAACGTTCATTGAACCCAAGAAAAAAAAAAAACAATTCAATCTAACAAGAAGCACAATGACACAATGAAATTGAAGAAGAAAAAACGATAAACAAACCGATCTTTCGTCTCTTGCGATCATCGTTGTCGGATGCCCCCAACGTTTATTGATTTTTTTTTTAGCAGAAGTTGGTAGTTTGTTCTTTGCCATTGAAGAGGTTTTGAATTGGGAGAGGTGAACGTGGTGCAATGGTGGTTTTGGAGAGAGGGAGAGGAAATCACAAAGTGAGAGAGAGAGTGCAAAAAGTTATTCCGCTTTTTTAGTAAGTAAATAATTATCTCAATTAATGATATCACTCAACTTAATTTGTTCATATAATGTTTTAGAAACCGTTACAAATAGATAATTCAACTTTTAGGTATAATTGCAATATTTTATGCATGATTTAGTAAATTTATAAATAAACTTATAATAGGGGCACAAGTGTAATATATATGATAACTGTAAGTAGAGGATGCAATTTCCTCATTCATATATAAAACATAAATAATTGGGTCCTCCAGGGCCGGGTTTAAAAACTATGATTCATATATAAAACATAAATTATTTCCAAACGCCAAATAAACATTGAAATCTTACACCAGATAAATAAATCAAGTAAACAATGAAATCTTACACAAGATAAATAAATCAACACGTAAAAAAATTTAAGGCATCATTAATATAGTGAATTGGGCTCCTGGTGGACAGTCTGTCCACACGATGGTTACCAAGTTGGACATGACAAATTTTCACAGTGAGCCCACTTGAGGGGTGTGTTGTTGAACTATAGTGTAGTAATAGTTAGTTGTTGGTTGTTTATGGATTTAACTAGTTTTATTTGGTTTGTTTTTTAACTATAGTTAATTTTAAAAAAAGATGGTATGGTTAGTTGTTAGTGAATATATTAAAACAATATGCAAATAAAATAATTAAAGTTGATTTGATTGTAAAGTAGGAGAAAAGTGATTGGAAGTGATATAGTCAGCGGCGGATCCAGAAATTTTCACCAGCCAGGGCAAAAAATAGTTCGAAGAAACTTTTAACCATATTACACAAAATACTTATATTAACAATTAATAAATCGTTGAAATAATCGGGTATTGAGGGGTTCCCTATTTAATTTGCGTTTGACTTGATGCTAAAAAATGAAATTGAGAATGAGGTATGGTTATTTTATTTTGCGTTTTTATTATATATTATTAAGAAATATACCAAAAATATTTCACAATCCTTTTTCTTTCATCTTTTTGTAATAAGAAATAAACAAGTCATTTTGAAATTTAAGAAAAGCCTAAATGTCATCACTATTGTTGTTGTTTTTATAAAGATTTTCTTATTAATTGTCTTCTCATAGATAAATGTATAGTTTTTCATTGTTAATTTCCAACGCTCTGTTATTCTATATGTGAACTCCTAAGGATTCGAAATAGTCCATACAAATATTGATGTTTCCAGAACTTTATAATTTAAACGCTTGGTAACTTATATTGTAAATATATTATAAAATTCAATAACATTTGTATATATTATCATTTTTTATATATGATAACTTAATTAGTCATATTTTGACAATATGTAATTTGACATTCATATTTTATAGGTAAAATTAAAAAAAATAATTATACCTATCTGATCTATATAAACAAAACTTTAAATATTTATCAATTATAATTGAAAAAAATAAATTTATGTATCAAGCTTATTATATGGCATAAGTACTAAAAGTGGTATATTAATGTAATATCCTCGTATCTGGCTGGTGAGGTATATCAACTTAAATAAAAACAATAATGTCATTTTATAAAAAATATTTAAAATTTTAAAATAAAAATTTGTATTTATAATTTTTACACATATTAACTATAAATTTTTTATTAGCACATATTGACTATATTAGTACCAAAAATTGAGCCTAGGCAATTGCCTAGGCTCGCCCATACCTGTGTCCGCCCTTGGTGATAGTTAGTTAAAATTATGTGAGTGGATGAATAGTGAATTAAAGTTGATGTGATATATAATAATGATTGGTTGATGTTATTTAATTATATTGATAATGTTAGAGATAGTGGGATTGGGTTAAAGTTGAGTTAAATTTGAGTTTTGATTGGTTTTTTTTACAGTAGAAACTATAAACAATTGCCCTAGTCTAGTAATTGCTTGTCAATTAGTAAACATTGTGTTTTCTTTCTTAGTATAACTAGCTGTGATTGTAATGTGACCGTTAGAAGTTATGTGTATTTTCCTCCCATTTTTTTTTTTCCTGTTTTCTTCTTCAGACATCTTAATACATTAAAGCTCAAGTATTACTATATATTTGCAAGTTGCAAATCAACATACAAGATACAAGAAATTATTAAGTTTACGTTATACATGAATTTCATGATTATCATCAATTTTTCAAACAATAACAAGAAAATAAATAATATATGAATGCAAGAATTAAACAATAACGCACAAATGAAATAAATATGATTAGGCCAAATTTTGGCAACTATACTTGAAGTAAGTAAATATCCAATGTGCAGTGCAGTGCAGGCTGGGAGAAAGTTGTTAATATGATTTGGAAGCACGAATCATCTGGTCACGAATCATTTCTTCAGAAAGTCCCCATTGTTTGAGGTCCTCGGGTTTGTGATGAAGAGCGAGGCTATATTCCCCGTTTTCTCCGAGTTGCATTACTCTGCACTCACAGTTAGACGGGTTGGCTAAGGCCTCAAACTCATTAACAGTCCAGTTGAACCATTTCATGAGAAATAGGAGAATAGTTAGTCCATGTGACACCACTACCAAGTTAAGCTCCTGATCATCACAATTGAGTTTGTTGCCCTCCATGTCCCTCCATAGCCCTTCAATGAAGCCTGCAAATTAAAACCAATCATTTAATATATATATATATATAACTAATTAAGATAAAGAAAAAATAAAAATAAAAAATTGATCTACAAGTAATAACTTACTAGAGACCCTATCGTAAACATCTGCACTGGACTCTCCTTGGGGGACTCGGTAGAAGAACTTCCCGTACGTATTGCGAGTGCTTTTGATCTTCCTCCTCTCCTCCACCTCTTGGAAGTTGCCGAAATGTTGTTCCCTCAACCGACACTCTTCTCGCACTCCACCAACTCTCTCTTTCGGGACTCGGGAGACTATCTCTTGAGCAGTTTCCCTCGTCCGAGATGAAGGGGAGACGTAGAAAAGCAGGCGACTGCCGGGGGATATGATGTCGAGGATCTCAGAGGCCGTTATCTGGGCCTGTGAGCGGCCCGTTTGGCTCAGCTTGATCTTGTGGTTGGGAATGTGTTCGAGAACCGTCTCGTCCTCGTTCACAAGGCTCTCCCCGTGTCGCACCAAAATGATGCGCTTCGGGAGGACCTTCTCATGACACTTTTTGTTGATGCTCACCATTATTAAACAAAACAAACGACTATGTATGTATATGTATTGTATGTATTGTATGTGTTGGGAGGCAAAAAATATATATGTGTGTGTGTGTGTTTTGTGTAGAGTTTGATTTAATTGATTTGGGATGTTAATGTGCGGGTTACAATATGTCCATTTATAGTCGTTATGTTACCGCGTTTTGTATGTGTGTAACCTTGTTTTCTACGGTGAAATTACATGTGCGACTTTGAATTCTTAAGTCAATGGCTATGTTACTTGGATGGAAGTTTAAGGGCTTTGAATTTAAGTGAAATTGCACCACAAAGGTGAAGCATTATTTGCTGTTCAATTAAATAACATAGAGTGTTTGATGGGTCGTGATATATTCTTGTATTACAACTTGTTATGTTATAACAGACAAACATTGTATTATTATTTTTACGTTTTACAAGCTAGTAAAATTCACCACTTGATACACCATTTAATTTATTTTTTTATTATTTCAAATTTTGTTCTTTATTTGGTATACAAAACTTTCATTTTCTAAGAGCAAAATATAGGGTTTTGGTCATCGGATGATTTTCTTATAGAGTCATCCAT